CCCCCAGATGTTCCCCAAGAACCTCCCAAGGCTCCTCGGGAACCCCCAAATGTTCCCCAAGAACCTCCTGAGACTCCTCACCCCCACCCAGAACTTCCCAAGGCTCCTCAGGAACCCCCAGATGTTCCCCAAGAACCTCCCAAGGCCCCTCAGGAATCCCCAGATGTTCCCAAAGAACCTCCCGAGGGCCCTCGCCCCCACCCAGGACCCCCCAGATGTTCCCCAAGAACCTCCCAAGGCTCCTTGCCCTCACGCAGGACCTCCCAATGTTCCCCAAGAACCTCCCAAGGCTCCTCAGGAACCTCCAGATGATCCCCAAGAAGCTCCAGATGTTCCTCACCCACCTCACCCAGAATCTCCAGACATTCAAAAACCTTCAGCTATTCCTCAGGAATCCCCAGCTGTTCCTCACCCAACCACCAGCTGTCTCAAGAACCTCCAGCTGTACCTCACCTCCCACCTAAAACCTCCAGGTGTTCCCAAACCCCTGGATGTTCCTCAAGAACCTCCAGGTGCTCCTCACCCCCAGCCAGAACCATTCCAGAGCCTCCAGACGTTCCCCAAGAACCTCTGGAGGCTCCTCACTCCCATGCATCTTTCTGGGCACCTCTGCATGTTCCTCACCCACCTCAAGGTGCTTCCCAAGCATCTCAAGATGCCCAACCTCCTCCAGATATTTTCCAGGTCTCTCCAGGTGCTCCTCACCTAACTAGGACCTTGCCAAGCATCTCTGGGTGCTCCTCATCCACCTCCAGATGTTCCCCACCTTCTCCAGATGTTCCTCACCCACCTCTGGCTTTCCAAGCATCTCTAGATGTTCCCCATCCACCTCCAGAACCTTCTGGAGCACATCCAGATGTTCCCCCCACCTCCAGCTTTTCAAGCTTTTCCTGATGCTCAACTACTTCCAAAACCTTTCCTGGCATCTCCAAATGTTCCCCATCCACCTCCAGCTTCCCAAGCATTTCCAGATATTCCTTATCCAGCTCCAGAACTTTTGCAGGCATTTCCAGATGTTTCCCATCTCCAGAACCTTTCCAAGCATCTCCAGATGCCCTTCACCCACCCCAAAACCTCTGAACCTCTCCAGGTGTTCCCCATCCACCTCCAAAACCCTTCCTGGCACCTCCAGACGTTCCCCATCCACCTCCAAAACCTCTCCAAGCCTCTCCCAATGTTCCCATCTCCCTCCAGACCCCGTCCCGGCGCTCGGCACCCACCTCCCGCAGGCTGATCTGCGCCGGGTAGATGACATCGGAGCCCTCGCGGCGGAACACGTCGTGGGGCTTGTCCTTGAGCACGAAGACCACGTCGGCCGGGATGTTGTGGGGCGTCTGGTCGCCCTCCTTGGGGAAGGTGATTTTGGTGCCCTCCTTCCAGCCGCGCTTCACCTCGATCGTGAGGATCTTGTCCTTGAGCTCTGCGGGGACAGAGCGGGCGTGAGGGGCCGATAAGGGACAATTCGGGGACCGTTCGGGGCCATTCGGGGTGATGAGGAGGGGGCAAAAATCTGGAGAAGATCAGGGCAAAATTTGACTGGCAAAGAGCAAAGTTCAACTCGGACTGAACTGCCAAAACACAAAATCAGGGCCAAATCAGGGGCGATGAAGAGAGAGCAAAAAAATCTGACCCAAATTTAACCAAAATTGTACTGGGAATGGGAAGAGGAAGAAGCTCAACTCAGACTCAACGGATAAGGCACTAAAATGGGGCAATTTGGGGGCAATAAAGAGAGGGTAAAAGAATCTGACCCAAATTTGATGAAAATTCGACTGGCAAAGGAAAGAGCAAGGAAGTTTGACTGAGATGGGGCAAAATTTAACCAAGAAAGGGCAGAGTAGAGAAGTTTGCCCTGATTTTGAGCATTATCAGTTGAGTCTGAGTCAATCTGGGGCAACATGGGGGCAGTTTGGGGCAATGGAGGGGGAGCAAAAGAATCTGACCCAAATTTGACCAAAATTCAATTGGCAAAGGAAAGAGCGAAGATGTTTGATTCAAACTCTATGGGGCAAAATCAGGGCAAAAATCCTTCAGCTCAGGCTCAACTGATTAGGCAGCAATTCTGAGGGAGCAAAAAAAAAAAAAAACCTGGACAAAATTTGACCAAAATTCAACTGGCAAAAGGAAAAGAAGGTCAACTCACACTCAACTGACAAAGCACAAAACCAAAATTCACGACTGAAATTCGCGACTGAAAGGAAGAGAGCCCCAAATCCAGCAGCAGGGAGGAAAGGGGCCAAAATCAACAGAAATGGGGTGACAGACAAGAAAAGGGGAAAAAACTCTCAAACTGGAGCCACTGCAGGGGGACCAACAAAACAAAACAGAGCAAAATCTGCGGCCCCAAAATGAAAAAAAAAAAAAAAAAAATTTCGCCGCACGGGCCGCCCGCGCCGCCCTTGAGACCTGCGGGGACAGAGCGGGCGTGAGGGGCCGATAAGGGACAATTCGGGGACCGTTCGGGGCCATTTGGGGTGATGAGGAGGGGGCAAAAAAATGGAGAAGATCAGGGCAAAATTTGACTGGCAAAGAGCAAAGTTCAACTCGGACTGAACTGCCAAGACACAAAATCAGGAGCGATGAAGAGGGAGCAAAAAAATCTGACCCAAATTTAACCAAAATTCTACTGGGAATGGGAAGAGGAAGAAGCTCAACTCAGACTCAACGGACAAGGCAATAAAATGGGGCAATTTAGGGGCAATAAAGAGAGGGTAAAAGAATCTGACCCAAATTTGATGAAAATTCGACTGGCAAAGGAAAGAGCAAGGAAGTTTGACTCAGAGGGGGCAAAACATGGGCAAAATTTAACTGACAAAGGGAAGAGTAAAGACGTTTGACTCAGACTCAACTGATAATCCTCAAAGTCAGGGCAATTTGGGGCGATGGAGAGGGAGCAAAAGAATCTGACCCAAATTTGACCAAAATTCAATTGGCAAAGGAAAGAGCAAAGATGTTTGATTCAAACTCAATGGGGCAAAATCGTTCAGTTCAGACCCAACGGATTAGGCAGCAATTCTGAAAAAAAAAAAAAAAAAAATCTGGATAAAATTTGACCAAAATTCAACTGGCAAAAGGAAGAGTAAAAGAAGGTCAACTCACACTCAACCGACAAAGCACAAAACCAAAATTCACAACTGAAATTCGTGACTGAAAGGAAGAGAGCCCCAAATCCAGCAGCAGGGAGGAAAGGGGTCAAAATCAACAGAAATGGGGTGACAGACAAGAAAAGGGGAAAAAACTCTCAAACTGGAGCCACTGCAGGGGGACAAACAAAACAAAATGGAGCAAAATCTGCCCTGGTTCTGCAGCCCCAAAATAAAAAATAATAAAACCAGGCTGGGTCCCTCGCATCAAAATAAAGCCAGATTAAAACCCCTGGAGCGCAAACAAAAACCCAATAAATGGAGGGCGGCTCTGTCCCGGGAATCACAGGGATTCGGGGGGATCCGGGCACGCGCAGGGTGCCCGGCCGCGTCGGAGCCGCCGCGCCCGGCCCTGC